ACAAACATTGTGTGCTCACACCATATGTGTGTTCCCAATGCACACTTGTATCCTCTGCACACCAGTGAAACAAGCATTTTTCATCCACACACACTAAGACTACACACATGCACTAATGGACCAAAACAACACATTTTTTTCTCTATGCACAGGTCTCTTCTTCCATGAAATTTTTCTTTATTGCAGGTTGTGTTTGAACTTAGTCACAGTATTTCTTTAATCAACTTTTGGTCAAGATCATGACAACACGGTTGCTGCTTTTTTTTTTTTTTGGCTGGTTGAAGAAAATAGATACAAGGCAGAGAATAATAAAAAAACCAACTACTTTGCTAACCACAATGTTAAGCCTACTGAGTCTAATACTAAGTTCCTTGTAAGGACCAGAGCTTGCTTATCTTGCATCACTTCTTGTCTAACCATTTAGGGCAAATCATCCAACGAGCTAGAGTATAGTGTAGAGAGCCCCCATTTAGCCAAGGCATGCACAACTTTCACATAACCACTATTATTTTAGATTGAAGGTTGTTAATTTTTCAAACTGATTGTTGACTTCTTTGTTGGAGTATTAGAAGTTCTCTAGGAGTTGCACCCCCTCTTCCCCAACAAAACGAACTTATTCCTTTTGAGTTGATAACCCTACAACTGGACAATTTAAATTAGTGCCTACCACACCACGTTATATTTTGTTTTAGTGTTGATTCAAACTTTCAATGACCTTCATATTTGTTGCAACATTTTGTCACTTGTTCCTTTCAAGTTGAGTCATCTTGTTACTTTAAATGTTTTTCTCTTAGTTTTTAGGTTTTTTTATTATGACACAAACAAATTGGGAATTTATTTAATTCTATTATGCACTACGACAATCACAGTTCAGACAATTTGGCAGTTGGTTTGCTCTAGTGTAAGAGGAGGTGGATTAGTGGATTTTTAGGAAGCTATAGTCATTTTCAAACCTTGAATTTGGCAAATTTGCACCTGCCTATTATCCTTGGAACTTTAGACTTTTAAGTTTCTATTCACTATAGGCATAGTATTTATTACTCAAAATGAATCTTTGAATGAATTTTCTTTTGGCTAATGGACACTTATATGTCATTTCTTTGCAAACTTGGTTTAATACATTAGCTATTGTTTATGAGCGTATTTTTTACAATATTAATTGGAAATTATTTTATTTTCCGNTTAGACTTTTAAGTTTCTATTCACTATAGGCATAGTATTTATTACTCAAAATGAATCTTTGAATGAATTTTCTTTTGGCTAAAGGACACTTATATGCCATTTCTTTGCAAACTTGGTTTAATACATTAGCTATTGTTTATGAGCGTATTTTTTACAATATTAATTGAAAATTATTTTATTTTCTGNTGAATTTTCTTTTGGCTAATGGACACTTATATGTCATTTCTTTGCAAACTTGGTTTAATACATTAGCTATTGTTTATGAGCGTATTTTTTACAATATTAATTGGAAATTATTTTATTTTCCGAATTTAACTAATATAAATTATTAATCTTGTCACAATTGCAAATATTTCTTATTATATATTTAGTGCATGCACAATAGTTGTTCAACAATTAGAGGCTACACAGTCATAAATAAGCAATCCATTTGTCCAAATTTAATTGACTTGTCTTGATGTTTGCAACTTACAAGTTGGAATAAGTAATTTGAGTGATGCACTTTTAATATGTGGATGTCNTCTTATTATATATTTAGTGCATGCACAATAGTTGTTCAACAATTAGAGGCTACACAGTCATAAATAAGCAATCCATTTGTCCAAATTTAATTGACTTGTCTTGATGTTTTCAACTTACAAGTTGGAATAAGTAATTTGAGTGATGCACTTTTAATATGCGGATGCCATGAAGACTGTAGTTGACTTTGTTGATCGAACATATGATGCTTCCTTATCCAGAGGCAAGTAATAAATATATATTTTTCTCTAATTATTTTTATTTTACATTAATTTAAAAATAATTCATATGTAATGCATGTGTGCAACAACTAGTATGACTAAATGTAAATATGAAGTGTTTTTATGAACTTACTTGGGATTAAGAAATTACCCAGTCGTATGAAGTGGTCTATGAAATTGCATGTTTCACCTATCATCGATAATCTAACAAATACATTGATACCTTCTTGGATCTTGTTTGAAATTTTGGATAATTTTGTTCCTTAGCTCTATTCTTCATATATGTATCTCATAGCCGGGTTAGCATCACCATCAACTAGCTTCAACACTTTAGTTAGTGGAACCACAAAATTTAAACAATAATTGATTGCTTTCTAAGACTTTTGGTCATACAATATTAAACTCTACAGTTTTTTGGCATCAATCTTTGAAGCAAAATGCTATGAGCCCAATCTTTTGATGCAAACATGCATCGAAGACTAGACTTCATGTTATCAAAACTCTTTAGATTGAGAAATGCAATGGTAAATCTTGTAACCGTAGGTCGTGTTACTTCTTTGGCTTTTGAAATTGTGTCATGAAAAATCGACAAATCACTCAACATCAAATCAATAAAATGAGCAGAACAAGAATATAACTTCTTCCTCTTGTCCTTCAACAACCTATCAGCGACTACATAAGCCGAACTACTATCCGTCACCAGTTGAACCACATTCTCCTCTCCCATTTCCTCCACCATTGAGGCAAGTAACTCAAACAATTTATTAGCACCCTTTATAACCTCGGAAGAATCCACTAATTTAAGAAATATTATTCCACTAGGGCTATTAACAAGAAAATTTGTTAGTGAACGTTGTTTACCATCGGTCTACCCATCAGACATCAAAGTACACCAACTTTTTTTTTCATTCCAATCTATGTTTTTCTAAACTCACCTTGACATTATCCACTTCTTCTTCAAATAAGTTACTCTAACCTCGTGATAACTAGGGAGTTTTAATCCCTTGTCATACTCACCAACCAATTTCATCATCTTATCAAACAATATGTTTTTAATTAAATTGAAAGTTAGTGTATGCCCATAGAAGAACCGATAATTGTTTTGAATCACTAGTTCTCTTTTCTTCACCAATTCATTTAATGTTTGTTGTCTAGCTTTTACCTTGCATTTAATCACAAAAGTACCCATGGTTTGGGTCCCCCTTTCAACATCCCCTGCAAAGTATTTATTGCCATCTTTATTCTTTTCTTTTGCATCTTCCAAAATTTGGATGAATTTTAGTATAACATCCTCTAGACATTGAGCACGTGGTGCTAAAGCAATATGAGTTCCAGCAAAATGATGTTTCATCCTACTTACACCATCCCATTTGTCAAGGTCACAATAATTGCACTTCAAGTGCATTCTATTATCTTGCACAGGAGAACAATGCTCCCATGTCGAATCATTGTTCTTTTTTTTCCTTTTCATCTTCTTTTTAACCATTTTCAACTTCAACAACTTAAAAAAAAAAGAGTATATTTAAAACTAAAAAAAGGAACAATAATACCATTGTCTCTAGTAACACAATAATGCTACAGAAGTACAGAGTATGTTCGTTTTCACAGTTTCTTATGACTATTAGTCATGACCCAAATCAAATATATATCTAATATTCCTTATAATACCACAATAACTACAAAAATAGAGTGAGCAACGAAAAAATGCAGCATAATTTTGAACACAGGTTTGGGCAATGAAAAAACACAGTATGATTTTGAGCAACAAAAAAACACAACAACAACAAAAATCACTAAGTCATTGTGAGCAACGAAAAAACAGAGCAACTACAAAAAACAAAGCATGCCTTTGAAGAAGATAACAGAGCATGATTTCGAACTAGATTTTTGGCGATTCACAAGTGCATTCAGTAGTAAAAATTGATTGACAAAACAAGGGCCAAAAGTTAATAATATTCGATTAGAAAAGGAAATTTTGATGAAAACCAAAAAATAAAAAAAATAAAACAGAGCATGAGTGAAGAAGAAGAAAACGTAAAGCTTTCAAAAAACAAGACGAACAGAGTTTCAACTGTTAACTTTAGAAGACGACGCACGAGTGAGTATGAGAAAGAGACAAAGGCTTAATATTTTATTAGGGTGTGGGTCCTCTACAAATAACATGACATTGTTTGGACAAAAATATGAGTTTAAAAAAAAAACAAAATAGTATGATTCAGTTCAATTCGAACTATTCGTACAATTCAATTGTGATTCAAGTCCAAAAACAATACATATATAAGATACAAACCGAGCAGTTCATGAACCAAACCAAATTTAAATTTGTTTGATTTTAACAATTATGTGATGTGAACCCCAATCAACTTGCTTTGAGACCCAACAACAAAATTGAAAAAACAACCCAAGAAAGCCAAACTCGGGTCTATGGATGGAGAATCTAAACCCGTTGAGAACTCATTTCAAAAACCTAGATTATATTAAAATCTAGACCCGTTAAAAAACCCGTCTCAAGAACCCAGATTATAAGGAGGAACGCCACAAAGGTTGTAATTTAATTGATTGCACTAATTCTTGTATTGCTTCCTTGATCTTCTTGGCTCTTGATCTTGTAATTGGCCCATTTGGACATGCAAAGGATCTTTAAAAGTAAGCCCACCTTAGTTCTCATCACTATGGTTTCCACTCTAAATTCTGGATACCTAGACATTATCTTCCTCACAATATCATCATCTGATAAAGACCTATCTAGGCTTACCAATTCATCATATGGTGATAATTACAACACCATCACACTTTGAGCCATCCAAAATTGTTGATTTCTCTTTTTCCACACCATTCCCATTACCACTTATCTTTCCCCATTCAACATCTTTATTAACATGTGTCATACAACTTATCATCCTCCACAAATCATAGTCACCATTATAAAATTCTTAGTCTTCTGAGTCATCATGCGACAGCTCACAGTTTGTTTCATTGCTTTTATCACTGCCTCTGTGTTTTATTTCATTAACAACATTGTCATCCCCTCTACCTCCTACGTCATGAACAACACTATCATTGCCTATGTCATCTACCTCANATTTCATTAACAACATTGTCATCCCCTCTACCTCCTACGTCATGAACAACACTATCATTGCCTATGTCATCTACCTCATCAACAATAATATCATTATCTGTGTGTTCTACCTGAAGAACAACACTGTCATTGCAATTGTCCCGCACACATCCCTGGCCTTCTTCCACAATGGTAGATCTACATTAATTAAACTCACCATAATCTAGCAAAAATTGTGGCTTCCTATATCCTATACCAGGCCCATCAATTAATTAGCTATCCATGCCCTCCTCATTGATCTTCTCAATAACTATGGAATGATTATTCTTATTTCTATCATAACATTGTTCCTCCCCATCAGAACATCGAACAATGTTCTGTGTTTAAATAGACTTCAACAACAGTATNACCATAATCTAGCAAAAATTGTGGCTTCCTATATCCTATACCAGGCCCATCAATTAATTAGCTATCCATGCCCTCCTCATTGATCTTCTCAATAACTATGGAATGATTATTCTTATTTCCATCATAACATTGTTCCTCCCCATCAAGAACATCGAACAATGTTCTGTGTTTAAATAGACTTCAACAACAGTGTGTGGATATAGGATATTGAACGCCATAAAAAACTGAGGATCATTGTGTAAAAATACTAAACTAGTATCCAAGTCCTTCCTTAGTATGAGAAAATGATACCTCATAATTTTCCCTTCATATCCTAACTCTTTCACCATTTCATCATTTTCCAGTAAGGACATGAGGTCTGGATGTTTGCGATGGAAGAAGTCAACCTTGCCACCAACATATGCCATATTCGGGTTTTTTTTTTATGAAATTCACCATCATAGTGCAATTTGATAGTAAAATAATTGGAATTTTCATCTGCAAAACAAAATAAATACCACAAAATCATGAAGTAATGTATTAGAGAAAACTGCACGATCCTCAATATAATTTCTTGATACACTCTGGGGACCATAAGCATAAAAAACCACACGCATAAACAAATCAAAAATGCATGGAACATGTTGTTCTTCTACGAGTTTTGTGTGTTAGCAATGCCAACATTGTTGACAAACTTCATTCTTTTGAACAAATAGTTAAAAAAGTTAGACATGTGTATGCTTTATCAACATTACTTACCGTAATATGGAATTGCTGACCATTAGTATACAGTGGAGATATATGATTTTGTCTTTAACCCACTTGTCTTGAGGAATACCCTATAAAAGAGCCCCAAATCAATTTGAAACCCTAGTGAAAAGGTGTGTTCTTATGATGACATATCCACGTGGAAATCACCAATTATGGGTAAGGGTGTCCATGGGCTGGGCCGAGGTTTGCCCGCAAAATTTTTTCAACGTAGGCCTGGGTAGGAGAGGCTCAAGCCTTCATCCAGTGAGTTATCAGGTGAGGGCTTTAGCTAGAGGTAGACTACCCGTAGCCCAATCTGTCACTCACTGGGCAGGCCTACTCGATAAGCTTTTTATATACAGTTTTATTTAGAAATAATGAATATTTAATAATTTAATATTTTTATAAATTATATTTTTGAATTAAAAATAGAGTTAAAATAGACAAAAAGTAAGTAATGAATAATTTTATTTATAAAAAGTGGAATAATTGTATTACAATAAAATGAACACATCCTAACTAAGTTGACATCCTATTCATCTATCTATCTTTTTTAAATTTCAAATTTAATGTGTCTAACTTTTTTTCAAATGAAGGTAGGCGGACTATTCAAGCTGGGGTGGGCAGGCGGATTCTTAGGCCGGGTTTTAGCGGGTTTTTTGCAAGTACACTATTGGGCAAGGTTTTCGAGCCGGGTAATGGATTTAGAGGTAGGGCCAAACCCTTTTTTAAAGGATATTGGACTCAGGCTCAGGTGGGCCAACTATCAAGCCTATTGGGTTTTGGACTTCTTTTTTTTTAGGCCGAGTAATGGGACCCATGACCAATCCAGTCCATAGACACTCCTAACTATGGGAGATGAGAAAAAAGGCAAGAAAGCAGGTGAAATGGGCATAATGCCCCTCACGTGTGCCCTCGGATGTTGTTTTCCGTCAACCATCTAGACGGAAGTCAGGACTAGGGATGAAATTGGTTAAATGTGTCAAAGTGAAGAACTAAATTGATGAAATTGAAACTTTAAAAACCAAAGTTGTACAAAATGGCAAACCTCATGGAGCAATAATGCAATGTACACTAATTATAACTATTGAACTTGTCATAAGTGATCTATCATTAAAAAAAGTGAAAAAGAAAAAAAATTATATAAGTAGTACAAAAATATTTCTCCAAATGTCCAAATATTTGATTGTTTGCAAATTTTTTTTTTAAAAAACATAAAACCTAGAAACCAAAATTGAATCATATTATCCTATAAAATATTAAATATTACGATGATACCACTTCGTTAATGACATGTGATGTTATCAATTAATAATTTATAATAAATGAATATGTACATAAGTGAATCTCATTTAATTTAATAACTAGCATGTCTATGTGAGAAAATAATCATATTATGTGTAAAGAAATAAAGTTTATTTTCTTAACTTGTAAGTTTATTATTAAATGGTGACACGACATGACAATAGTGACGTCATATCACTGTTACGAAAAAAATATTGAATGTGACACTATATTGCTATTATTACATAGTGTCACTAGCCAAAAATAAACTAACAAATAAGTGGACCCAATTTAGTTAGGTAACTACAATGTACGTATAGGGAAAGACCCACCATAAGTAAAAAAATGAGATTCACCGTGTTTCTTTATAAGTTTGTTATTAGATAATGATGCCACATGATAATAATAAGATATCAATGTTGTAACCCAAAATTTACGTGTGCCGTACGTATAGCACATGGGTCTCNGTGTGGATATAGGATATTGAACGCCATAAAAAACTGAGGATCATTGTGTAAAAATACTAAACTAGTATCCAAGTCCTTCCTTAGTATGAGAAAATGATACCTCATAATTTTCCCTTCATATCCTAACTCTTTCACCATTTCATCATTTTCCAGTAAGGACATGAGGTCTGGATGTTTGTGATGGAAGAAGTCAACCTTGCCACCAACATATGCCATATTCGGGTTTTTTTTTTATGAAATTCACCATCATAGTGCAATTTGATAGTAAAATAATTGGAATTTTCATCTGCAAAACAAAATAAATACCACAAAATCATGAAGTAATGTATTAGAGAAAACTGCACGATCCTCAATATAATTTCTTGATACACTCTGGGGACCATAAGCATAAAAAACCACACACATAAACAAATCAAAAATGCATGGAACATGTTGTTCTTCTACGAGTTTTGTGTGTTAGCAATGCCAACANCTCTCTCTCTCTCTCTCTCTCTCTCTCTCGCGCACGCACACACACAGCAACTGATCTGATCTTAACTATTCCACCCCCCTACTAATCATTTTTATTTAATCAGTTATTTAAATCTTTGTTTTTTCTTGAGTAAAAGAAAAATGCGGGGATCTGGGTTTATTTTCATTTTATCCATGTTTCTGAAATCAAGAAGCATTAATTTTTTTATTTTTTTTGTGTTTTTCTTGGACGAGAAGCCCGTTTACGAGGCATTATAGTTTCCCTTTCAAGAAGCTTTTTTGTGTGTTTTTACTCTGGATATTTATAGTGATGCATGTGTGTCTTGATTCTGATTAGGTTTGTTATTATATTCTAATGCCCTTATTATTTAGTGTTTTCACTCTGGTTTTATGTCAGCAATTTTGAATCATAATGGCAGTTTTGAATCTTGGGATTATCACCAACAGCGTCTAGGCTAATGGTATTCTGCCTTGTGAAGGGAAGGGTTTAAGTCCAAGAAAAAAAAAAGAATCTTGGGATTATTACGGACACACACAAAAAAAAAAAATCTTGGGATTATTTAATTGCAGAAATGGGAAATGGAAGCTTTGCTGAAATTTGTGTTGTAGTTGTAATCAGATTCTTTTCACTGCAAGCATGAATTTCTTTTGCCATCAAATCAGAAACTCTTACTATCCATTTTTTCCTTCACTTGTCCCTTTAAATCTTTAATTGCTATGTGCGACTTACAATGTCTTAATGCTTGGAATTATCAACTCCTCCACTGTTTTCAGCTGGATTACTTAGCTGCATAATTCACTGTGAAATTGAATTACTTTTTGCAAGGCTTGTGTGTGGCATCATTTCAAGCTTGCTTGAAGTTAATTTTTAACTTGTTTTCTTTAGGTTAAGTGATAATTAACAAACCCCAATGAGGCGAAAGAAATAATTTTAGTTCACTGAACTTTAATTTTAAAATGTTAAAAAGAGACTACATTCTCTGTATTTTGCTGACGTTTTTACTATCAGTCATGCCATCAGGAGCTGAATGATTGAAAAACTTCAAATTCTGCCAAGTAGAGATGAATCCGCTCTCAAATGTCTTTTCTTTGCTCCAGTTGGATGCTGCGGATGATAAGGAACAAATAGCTACAGTTGCTGTTGTTGATAACAGAGAAAATAGCAAGCAAAGAGGTTGGACCAATATTGTCGAGGAGCTAAGATTTTGTAATCTATTGTTCTGTTTAGTTACCTTGAATAAAAGGTTTCTCTAGTTTGGCATAAACTTCTGAAAAAACTTATACCATGATCTGCCCTTGGCATTGCATATGAAGGAGTGCCCTGTTTTTTTAATGTCAGTTGGAAATTGGAAGTGCCGCAAAAGTTGTCTTGATACAAATGATAAACTTCAAACTTGGGTTAGACTGGCGCATCTACCCTCCATATTTTTAGCTTTCCTCAACTGATCTAACTCACCAGTAAATAGTATCAGTACTCTATCTACCATAGAAATTCTCTTAATGATAACCTACAAAAATATGTTTGTGGTGCAGGTAAGGGTAAGAAAACAGGTGGTAGCTCCGGAGAGACAACTCCATCCAAAAATGAGAATGGGGGTCCACAAAACATAGGAATAGCTTCTGGAGATTTCAAGTTGCCTCTTGTGTGGATCGACTTGGAAATGACTGGTAGGATTTCAGTTTCAAGTTTTTAAAATGTAGATGGTGGTCCTTGAGCCTGGATTGTGCGCCCACATCAGTCAGTGTATTTCTCAGAATTTATTTTCATAGTTGATGCCTAATTTGTCTGTTGAATGAGTAGCAGTCAGGAATTGGCTGGGTGCACCCAGATTTGCATCCACCATTGTTAATACTTGATAAGTATAGAGGATTAACACAATATTAGAGAGAAAAAGATAGAGGTTAAAAACTTAACCTATTTCTCATTCATCACTTGTATTTATAGTTAACTCATAATAATAAGAATTATACATACACCCTCTTGTATTTACACATAATATCCTAACATTATTAATAATTTACATATACTACCCTAATACTCTTAACACTCCCCCCAAGCCGGACTATATATATCATATAATTCAAGTTTGGAACAAATCGCTGTAAGACGTGTACGACTCCATATTTTGGTAAATATATCTGCAAGCTGATCTTCAGATTTTACAAATGGAGTCGTAATCTCCCTAACTACTATTTTGTCCCGAATAAAGTGACAATTAACCTCAATATGTTTGGTTCTCTTGTGAAATACTGGATTGACAGCGATATGGATAGTTGTCTGGTTGTCACAGAACAACTATAAAGGAGGTTGAACTGGAAATTCAATTTCTTGGAGAACGTGTAATAGCAAAGTCAATTCACTCGTCGTATGCACCATTGCCGTATACTCAACTTCAGCACTGGATCTTGCTACCATGGNAGTTAACTCATAATAATAAGAATTATACATACACCCTCTTGTATTTACACATAATACCCTAACATTATTAATAATTTACATATACTACCCTAATACTCTTAACACTCCCCCCAAGCTGGACTATATATATCATATAATTCAAGTTTGGAACAAATCGCTGTAAGACGTGTACGACTCAATGTTTTGGTAAATATATCTGCAAGCTGATCTTCAGATTTCACAAATGGAGTCGTAATCTCCCTAACTACTATTTTGTCCCGAATAAAGTGACAATTAACCTCAATATGTTTGGTTCTCTTGTGAAATACTGGATTGGCAGCGATATGGATAGTTGTCTGGTTGTCACAGAACAACTATAAAGGAGGTTGAACTGGAAATTCAATTTCTTGGAGAACGTGTAATAGCAAAGTCAATTCACTCGTCGTATGCACCATTGCCCTATACTCAACTTCAGCACTGGATCTTGCTACCACAGATTGTTTCTTACTTTTCCATGAGACAACGTTACCTCTTAAGAAAGTATAATAACCAATGGTTGATCTCCAATCAGAAGAAGAGTCAGTTTAATTAGCATCTGAGAAACCTTCCACTCTAAGATGTCCATTAGCTCGATATAACAATCCAAGTGCAGGAGTTCGTTTGAGATATCGCAGAATACGAGTAACTGTATCCCAATGTGGTACTCCAGGACACCCTATGAACTGACTCACTATATTGATTACATAGGAAATATCCGGTTGAGTAATAGTGAGATAATTAAGCTTTCCAACCAATCTGTCATACCGACTCGGATTCTTAAACAGTGCACCATCATCCATCAATAGTTTTTGATTCAGATCTATAGGAACATCAATCGGTCTGCCATCCAGCAAACCTGTNCGGATTCTTAAACAGTGCACCATCATCCATCAATAGTTTTTGATTCAGATCTATAGGAACATCAATCGGTCTGTCATCTAGCAAACCTATTTCCTCTAGCATGTCAAGTACATATTTCCTCTGTGATAAACAGATATCCTATTTAGGTCGAGCCACTTTAATTTTCAAGAAATACTTGAGTTTTTTTAAATCCTTAGTATAAAATCAATCTTGCAAGAAGATTTTTAACTTAGTAATCCCCTCAGAATCATTTCCAGTAATCACAATATCGTCTACATAGACCACCAATAGAACATATCCAGCATCCGTCTGTCTATGAAACATAGAATAGTCTGTCTGACATCGAAGAAGACCAAACTCTAAAATTGCATCTGAAAATTTACCAAACCATGCCCCTGATGACTGCTTCAAACCATACAAAGATTTTTTTAACCGACATACACTCTTATCATACTTCCTCTGAGCAGTAAATTTAGGTGGCTACTCCATGTATACCATTTTAACCAAGTCACCGTGTAGGAAGGCATTCTTGACGTCTAACTGAAACAAGGGTCAATCAAGATTAGCAGTCAAGGAAATCAAGATACAAATAGAGGAAATTTTGGCAATAGGAGAGAAAATCTCCTTATAATCAATACCATAGGTTTGAGTAAAGCCCTTTGCAACAAGTCGAGCTTTGAGATGCTTCACAGAACCATCCGGATGAAATTTAACAGTGTACATCCAACGACAACCAACAGTTCGTTTACTAGGAGGTAAAGGAACGAGATCCTCAGTCCCATTCTGATGTAAGACATCCATCTCATCTTCCATAACNACAAATAGAGGAAATTTTGGCAATAGGAGAGAAAATCTCCTTATAATCAATACCATGGGTTTGAGTAAAGCCCTTTGCAACAAGTCGAGCTTTGAGACGCTTCACAGAACCATCCGAATGAAATTTAACAGTGTACATCCAACGACAACCAACAGTTCGTTTACTAGGAGGTAAAGGAACGAGATCCTAAGTCCCATTATGATGTAAGACATCCATCTCATCTTCCATAGCTTTCCTCCAACTCGAGTTAGATAATGCATTCTGTAAATACTTAGGAATAGATATAGTAGATAATTGAGAGGTAAAATAAGAGAAAACAAGAGACAAGATATCATATAAAACAAAATGAGCAATAGGATGATTAGTAACACATGAACGAATACCTTTTCGAAGAGTAATAGGTAAAGAGTCTAAATTACCTGATGGACCAGGATCAGAATGTGGCAAGGAAGACGGTTCGGGCACCTCAGTCGATGGTTAAGGACGATGAGAGTATACATGAAGAGGTAAAGTAAATGGTAACACAGTGAGCAACGGAAGATCTGAAGATGAGGGAATAGATGATGGTATAAGAGATGACCCAAAGGCTGAGAAGGTGTTGAAAAATATGGAACAGATTTGNTCGAAGAGTAATAGGTAAAGAGTCTAAATTACCTGATGGACCAGGATCAGAATGTGGCAAGGAAGACGGTTCGGGCACCTCAGTCGCTGGTTAAGGACGATGAGAGTATACATGAAGAGGTAAAGTAAATGATAACACAGTGAGCAACGGAAGATCTGAAGATGAGGGAATAGATGATGGTATAAGAGATGACCCAAAGTTCAGATCCAAAGGCTGAGAAGGTGTTGAAAAATATGGAACAGATTTGTCAAATGTGACATCGGCACTAGTAAAGTATCATCGCAGAGAAGGACTGTAGCAACGATACCCCTTCTGTGTGTAGGAATAACCAAGAAATACAAATTGGTAATTCGAGAGTCAAGTTTATCAAATTCAGGACCTAAATTGTGAACATAATAGACACATCCAAAAACTTTAGGAGTTAGAGAAAATAAGGGCTTACCAGGAAAAATGACAGAATATAGACTTTGTCCATTTAATACAGAGGATGACATATGATTAATAAGGTGACAAGCAATAAGAACAGGATCAATCCAAAAATATTGGAGAATATTCATTTGGAATAACAGGGCACAGGTGACTTCCAACAAATGATGGTCCTTGCGTTCAGAGCATTATCATATTCATATTCTCGAGTATTATCAGAACATAAAATACGTATACGACACCCATATTGATTTTTTATTTCCTTACGAAAGGTCTCAAATATAGAGAATAGTTCAGACCGAGCTTTCATTCGAAACAATCAAGTCACACGAGAATAGTCATCCACAAATGACACAAAATATGGATGTTTATTGGATGAAATATTCTTTATTGGACTCCATACATCAAAATGTACTAACTCAAATGGACTAGACACACGATTATTGACTCTAGACTGAAATAACACACAGTGATGCTTACTAAGTTGACAAGTTTTACAAGACAAAGACGACACACAACTAAGACTGGAAACTTGGCACTTCAGATTCTAGAGAGAGGGATGTCCAAGATGACCATGCCATTGAAAAGGAGACAACGAGGTCTGTAGAGCCCGAGTAGGTGAATCAAAATCAAAGTAATATAGGCCACTAGCTTCATATCCCGTACCAATTTTTTTCTTCGTCTTGAGATCCTGAAAGACACAATAAAAGGGATAAAAGTTTATAGAACAATTCAGAGAACGGGATAATTTTACTAATGGATAGTAAACTAAAAGGAAACTGAGGAACAAATAACACGGAAGATAGGGATATATCAAGACTCAAGTGAGTAGTTTCCATACCTGAAACTTTAGAACAAGTACCATTAGTAAGAGTAACACTACGTGTGAAAATAACAGATTGATTAGTAGAAAAAATATTAGACGCATCAGTCATATAGTCAGAAACACCAGAGTCTATGATGTAGGGACTGCGAGTGGACGACAATAAACAAGTAGAAGCAACACTTGACTGGGCAAAAGTAACAGTGGATGGAGATGGGATAGCCTGTTGCTGGGACGGGAACTGAGCATATTCCTCTCGTGTAATTGTAACCGACTCAATGTCTGGTGGAGTTGACTGAGGCATGGAAGCAACAACAGAGGTGTCATCCTGATAGGAAGCCTGATTCGCAGCACCAGAGGGTTTTCTATGTAAATCCCAACAGAAATCAATAGTGTGCCCTCCACAGTCACAGTGAGTACAGGAATGAGGTCCACTACGGCCCCCACGACCACCCATACGACCTCCTCGACTACGACGACTGCCTCGATGACCATTACTGTGATTACTAGGAACCACAAGAGCTGAGCGATCAGTGGGGACACCATGATTGACACCTAAAGTAGACAAAGTAGCACGTTGTACACGAGAGAAAACCTCAAGTAGTGAGGGAAGACTAGAATCACCAAAAATCTGAGAACAAATAGCCTCATACTCAGGTTTTAATCCTACTAGAAACCCAACAACATTCATGTCCTCATGTTGTTTCTGTTAAATTGCTGCATCAGTAGTAAACGGATGGTAGGTTTTCATCTCCTCACAGACTCCCCGAATGTGAGAGTAATAATTTTCAATGCTCAGAGTATTTTGTTCTAGTCGGAAGTACTCCTTGCACACCTCATAAGCTCGGGTAAAATTACCTGTATTAAAATATATATTGGCCAAGTGATCCCANTCTGTTAAATTGCTGCATCAGTAGTAAACGGATGGTAGGTTTTCATCTCCTCACAGACTCCCCGAATGTGAGAGTAATAATTTTCAATGCTCAGAGTATTTTGTTCCAGTCAGAAGTACTCCCTGCACACCTCATAAGCTCGGGTAAAATTACCTGTATTAAAATATATAGTGGCCAAGTGATCCTATATCTCCTTAGCAGTGTCAAGATAGAGCAAAGTAGAACTAATACTAGGCTCAATGCTATTTAATAGTAAAGAAATTTGAACGTCCTCTTGTTCCCACTGATCATACCCAGGAGTATCTTCCTTGGGTTTAGAGTGCACCAAATATTTCTTAAAACTTTTGCCTCAAAGAAAGACTTGAATGAATTGGAATTATAAAGTATAATTGGTCCCATTGAATTTAACAAAGGTCATGGAACCATCAATAAGAGTCGGAGGAGCAGAGGTAAGTGACAAAGATGGAGTAAGAGACCTGGTATTTTGCTTGGGTTCCATAACTCTGTAGCAAATCGCAAACAAAAAGTATTGCAATGCTAAACCAGAAGAAAAGAAAAGAGAATGCTGGAAGACTGAACCGGACCACAGGACTGGACCGTTGAACCGGACCTGCTAAGGATGCTGGAAGACTGANTACTAGGAACCACAAGAGCTGAGCGATCAGTGGGGACACCATGATTGACACCTAAAGTAGACAAAGTAGCACGTTGTACACGAGAGAAAACCTCAAGTAGTGAGGGAAGACTAGAATCACCAAAAATTTGAGAACAAATAGCCTCATACTCGGGTTTTAATCCTACCAGAAACCCAACAACATTCATGTCCTCATGTTGTTTCTGTTNGGTTTTAATCCTACTAGAAACCCAACAACATTCATGTCCTCATGTTGTTTCTGTTAAATTGCTGCATCAGTAGTAAACGGATGGTAGGTTTTCATCTCCTCACAGACTCCCCGAATGTGAGAGTAATAATTTTCAATGCTCAGAGTATTTTGTTCTAGTCGGAAGTACTCCTTGCACACCTCATAAGCTCGGGTAAAATTACCTGTATTAAAATATATAGTGGCCAAGTGATCCTATATCTCCTTAGCAGTGTCAAGATAGAGCAAAGTAGAACTAATACTAGGCTCAATGCTATTTAATAGTAAAGAAATTTGAACGTCCTCTTGTTCCCACTGATCATACCCAGGAGTATCTTCCTTGGGTTTAGAGTGCACCAAATATTTCTTAAAACTTTTGCCTCAAAGAAAGACTTGAATGAATTGGAATTATAAAGTATAATTGGTCCCATTGAATTTAACAGAGGTCATGGAACCATCAATAAGAGTCGGAGGAGCAGAGGTAAGTGACAAAGATGGAGTAAGGGACTTGGTATTTTGCTTGGGTTCCATAACTCTGTAGCAAATCGCAAACAAAAAGTATTGCAATGCTAAACCAGAAGAAAAGAAAAGAGAATGTTGGAAGACTGAAACGGACCACAGGAGCTTACTGGACCGTTGAACCGGACCTGCTAAGGATGCTGGAAGACTGAACCGAACCACAAGAGCTTACTGGACCACTGAACCGGGCAGACCAAGCTTGCTGGACTGCTAAACCTGAGGAAAAAATTGTCTGAACTGGTCTGAACCACAGAAACTAGGCTGAATCGAGACTAAACCGGGATTGATCCGGTCTAGGTTGGACCGTGGGCTGGACCCGAAGTGGGTTGGATCAAANGGACACCATGATTGACACCTAAAGTAGACAAAGTAGCACGTTGTACACGAGAGAAAACCTCAAGTAGTGAGGGAAGACTAGAATCACCAAAAATCTGAGAACAAATAGCCTCATACTCAGGTTTTAATCCTACTAGAAACCCAACAACATTCATGTCCTCATGTTGTTTCTGTTAAATTGCTGCATCAGTAGTAAACGGATGGTAGGTTTTCATCTCCTCACAGACTCCCCGAATGTGAGAGTAATAATTTTCAATGCTCAGAGTATTTTGTTCTAGTCGGAAGTACTCCTTGCACACCTCATAAGCTCGGGTAAAATTACCTGTATTAAAATATATATTGGCCAAGTGATCCCATATCTCCTTAGCAGTGTCAAGATAGAGCAAAGTAGAACTAATACTAGGCTCAATGCTATTTAATAGTGAAGAAATTTGAACGTCCTCTTGTTCCCACTGATCATACCCAGGAGTATCTTCCTTGGGTTTAGAGTGCACCAAATATTTCTTAAAACTTTTGCCTCAAAGAAAGACTTGAATGAATTGGAATTATAAAGTATAATTGGTCCCATTGAATTTAACAGAGGTCATGGAACCATCAATAAGAGTCGGAGGAGCAGAGGTAAGTGACAAAGATGGAGTAAGGGACTTNCTCTTGTTCCCACTGATCATACCCAGGAGTATCTTCCTTGGGTTTAGAGTGCACCAAATATTTCTTAAAACTTTTGCCTCAAAGAAAGACTTGAATGAATTGGAATTATAAAGTATAATTGGTCCCATTGAATTTAACAAAGGTCATGGAACCATCAATAAGAGTCGGAGGAGCAGAGGTAAGTGACAAAGATGGAGTAAGAGACCTGGTATTTTGCTTGGGTTCCATAACTCTGTAGCAAATCGCAAACAAAAAGTATTGCAATGCTAAACCAGAAGAAAAGAAAAGAGAATGTTGGAAGACTGAAACGGACCACAGGAGCTTACTGGACCGTTGAACCGGACCTGCTAAGGATGCTGGAAGACTGAACCGAACCACAAGAGCTTACTGGACCACTGAACCGGGCAGACCAAGCTTGCTGGACTGCTAAACCTGAGGAAAAAATTGTCTGAACTGGTCTGAACCACAGAAACAAGGCTGAATCGAGACTAAACCGGGATTGATCCGGTCTAGGTTGGACCGTGGGCTGGACCCGAAGTGGGTTGGATCAGAACTGGGTTGACCCGAATTGGGTCATGTCTAGACCTTATCTTCTTCGTTGATTAGGGTTCTAGAGGACCTTTTTCTTCAACTGCGCCTCACCACCCTGACGAACGACAAACCACCACGACGACGACGACGACAACAACCCTGGTCTTTGATTGCGCCTCACCACCACGACAAGCGACAGACGATGCCGAACGACCAAGCCAACCACAGCACAGAGATCAACACCACAACAGTACCGCCACTACCACGACGGCTAACAGTATCACACCACCACCACGAGCAGCAACACCAACGCAACAAGCGACAACACCACCACAACAGTACTACCACCACCACGATGCCTCGACAAACAACAGTGCCACTACCACGAACAAAATTAATTTATTTAGAATATATATTTATGATCGTAATGTTCTGATAGCATGATAAATGTAGAGGATTAATACAATATTAGAGAGAAACAGAAAGAGGTTAAAAACTTAACCTAGCTCTCATACATCACTTGTATTTATAATTAACTCACAATAATAAAAATTACACATACACCCTCTTGTATTTACACAAAATACCCTAACACTATTAACAATTTACATATACTACTCTTAACAATATTTAATACTCGTTAATTTGAACTTTGTCTGATTCAAGAGTGGTCAATTTGTTGTTTACTTAATGCAATATTTTGAAGAAAAAGTGTGGTAAGTTTTGTACTTCATGCTACATGCTTCGCATCATTCAGAAAATATGTGCAAATGTGCTCCTTCACCATTAAACCATATGAACTTGGAATTGCTTTCCTCCTGGGTTTGCAAGAAGTGGTTTGAGTCCTCCATATCTGTCTTGACAAGCAATTATGTTGTTTCATACAGACAATATTTCCAGGTTTGTTATTTTGTCAGCTGCTTGCTTCACTTCTATTGTTCTACCATTTTCCTACATTGATCAATTTGAATTGATATAGATGTATTTCTCATTGTTTCCCGTGGCAGAACCAATTACCTTACGCCTCTGACCTCTCTATCTATCTATCCTCCACTTGGATCCTACTCTTTGAATTAGGTTGTATCATGCCCAGTTTCTTTATTCTATTTGTGTGTGGGAATTTAATCCTTTTTAGACTGTGACTTTTCATTCTGAACTGCCTTAATGAAATTTTCTCCTTATCCTGACACCCCTTTCNTCATGCCCAGTTTCTTTATTCTATTTGTGTGTGGGAATTTAATCCTTTTTAGACTGCGACTTTTCATTCTGAACTGCCTTAATGAAATTTTCTCCTTATCCTGACACCCCTTTCCCCTCAAAGTGGGTGTGGAATTGGAAGAATAAGGGTTATGGTTTGTTCAAAACTGTGGCATCTGTAGGAGTGCCAATAATTCTATAATCAAGTAATTTTTCCATGAATAAATTGAATTACTTTTTTGAAACTCAGTTACTGTGCCTTGGACTGGAATATCACATCTAGTTGTTTTCATTGGTATGTATTTCATAGTTGATAGTGCTTTCACAACTATACCACTGGCACCACTAGATTACTTTTGCCATTAACAGAGATGAACGAGGAGATGGAGGCCTGTGTGATGAGGTTGGCCACTAACGTTTAGATTAGTAATCAGAACCATATGAGTTTTAGCAATTTACTTCGGGTTGAAGTTTCAACTAGCTCTAATCCTTCGGGTTGTAATTTGAGCATAGTATGTTCCTATCCTCTCTGTGACAAAAATCATCATGTAGCCATCTATTATTTGAAGGAAGAGAATATCCATATTCGTATAACTTACCATTTTATCTGTTATACAAATACTTTGCATAAATTCTTCTCTCACTCTTGCTGCATATGTAGGCCTGCATATTGAAGTTGACAGAATACTGGAGATCGCTTGTGTGATAACAGATGGCAATTTGGCCAAATCGATTGAGGTAATTTGATTTGTAGATATCTTTTCAATTGTAGAAAGTACTGATGATGCTACTAGTAATTTTATTTCTCACATAATGTGTAGTAAAATTGAGAATTTATTGCCTTGGGAACTTTATAGTCCCTAATTTTTTTTGGCTGTGTCTTGTTTTACTGATATACATGAAGATTTGTTTTAAAGGATTGGAGAAATGCTGGATGAGCAGTGATGCCCAAGTTGTCCTTTTTTTGTTGATAGGTGTATCTACGGATATCATAGAATGACAATTTATTAGATGGAAGAGTTCAAAAGCTTAAGCACCAGAATTGATCATGAGTCTTAAGTTGTAAAGCAACCCCCAACCAGTCTGATGATTTCTTCTGGGGTGTTAAAAATAAATGAGTCCTGAGGTATTAGATGAAACATCATAATTGGTTGTGCTTCAGTCACATGGCCTCTACAAAAGGGATACTGAATAAGTACTATAAATTTTTTCATTACATAGCTCTGATTTTCGCTTTAGATTTCTCTCGAAACATATTGTGTGATGTGAACATTCGCAAATTTATTTTCTCTCTTTGTTCTCGATGCTTGTTTGCTTTGATTCTTATATTTTTAAAAAATGAAATCTAGCTTATTGGACCTCTATTGTACCAATGAAATCTAGTTTGTACTTTATCTCTTTCTCAATTCAACTCAGCCATGTCCCAACATTTTTGGGGTCGGCTACTTGTACTTTACCTCTTTGTTCTCACTTATTTAAAATATGCATAGGTTTCTTCTTTGTGAAGTCTAATATGGCAGTGATTCCACAGTTCTTACGAACCAAGGTTGGTTTTCTGTATATTTAGGGTCCTGATTTAGTTATCCATCAAACGAAGGACTGTCTCGATAAAATGGGACAATGGTGTCAAAGTCATCATGCAGCTAGTGGTAAGCTACTTTTCAGGTGTTTGCACTCGTTATTGTTGTTCATTGTCACCCCAACATGACAACACATTCAAGATGTGTTCTGCCAATGTAGCCATTCACTTCCAGAAAATGCATGCATTGGTCAGTTTTATATTCAAGAATTCTAAAGACTTTTACCAATTGTTACTTAAAGGTTTGACAGAAAAGGTGCTCCAAAGTACAATCAGTGAACAAGAAGCTGAAAAGCAGGTAATGGGAGACATTTTCAGATTTTCTAACCTTGATCTTTGTTATGTGCTATCTACCTCATTCATGAGACTTAAAGTTTTCTAACTCTTAAATGGATTCATTTCCATGTTACTATTGACCTTAAAAATTGGACCCTTTCATAATACCCAAGCTTCATTTCCATGCAGCAGTCCATACCAACAAGGAAACTTAATGTAGAAAATTAGTACTCTGAATTTACCCTAGGCTTTTGACTGAACAGCTCAACCCAAGATATCTAAGTACTGTGTTCAGTTTCTACCTCTTAAACAGGGTTCATACAATTTAAATTAGGTGTGTATTATTGGCCATATCCAGTTTCTGGACCTTTGTCAATAACTACTTTTCATCTGCATAGAGTTCCTAACATACATGTTTCTATATGAACTAAATTTGTATATGTCATATGGGCCATTACCTGCATTTAGAGTGCAATGAGGGGTAGATACAATTCCGATCTCAGCTTTTCAATGTTATTTGAAATGGCTGCCCTCGTATGTCTTTTTCTTCAATAAATTGTTGATGATCTTTGAACTGGATTTTTGGCAGCATTTGTAATACCCTTGATTTAATATTTTGCATTGTTGTAGGTTGTAGAATTTGTAAGGAGAAATGTAGGCGCACATACACCTCTTCTTGCAGGAAATTCAGTCTATGTTGATCTTCTATTTCTGAAGGTATAGGTAAAAAAGAGTGTGTGTGTGTGTGTTTATATAAATTTTACATATGTAGACCATTCTTCCCAATGGCCAAAACTGGGGACCGCTATTTTGTTAACAAAATTGACCGAGAAATGGAAACAATAATGCTGCTTTTGAAAATTATAATTCTGTATTCTTGTATATTCAATCGCCTCCTTAAAAGCTAAAAGTCGTATGTGCCATATTCTAATATGTTTATTGGTTGTGACAGAAGTATATGCCAGATTTGGCTAGTCTTTTTTCTCATGTGCTTGTTGACGTCAGCAGTATTAAGGCTCTATGCATCCGTTGGTACCCAAGAGGTGACAATTTTGCTCCCTTTTTGTGTTAGTCTGTTGCTTTCTGCTTCAGCCTCGATGCATTTTCATAATGTTTGATACTATATGTAATATTTTCTTCATATGGTACTGTTTTCTTTTCCTCTTTTAAGTCCCTAAGCTTTGCAAAGCTGTTCATTTCTTTCTACGGAATAAGAAACCTAGCAGTCCCCACCCCTAAAAACCGTTTTGATACAATAGAATGCACTTTAGTTCTCAACTTGATTTATGTTTTAAGTGGTGTTGTCATTGTTTTTCCACTAGACAATAAAAAGGCTCGTCAGAAGGAAAACAAGCACAGAGCGATGGATGACATCAAGGAAAGCATAGCAGAGCTTAAATACTACAAGGAGAACATATTCAAAGCAAAGTCTAAGAAGTGATAGGAAAGACCTTCCATGTCCCCCAGGTTCAAGAGCTTTCTACAATCCTTATACGCCCAAAGATGTGGCCTTACCTGCATGTGTAAATTGGTATTTAGAGTGACGGCTATCTATCTTTGTATAGAATTTAATGTCACTTTGCTAAAGTACTTATTCGGGCAAATAATTCAACCAATTTGTTAGCAACACCAAACTCAATTCTTCTTAGCTTGGAAGTATATCCTATCTCTGAAGCCTCCCTCAGTGTGTGTGTGAATCCTCTATTCATCAAGTCCTCTAATTTCTGGGTTGGATAGTTCTATATTAGAGACGGCTGGCTAGAAGAGCAGAGGATTAGCATGCAGAACCCAGTAAGGAAAGATTTATCCCTTGATGTTAGACCATGGGAGATTTAATTAATATTTTTGTCTTAGTATGGATGATCTGTCTTTGATTGAACCGAAAAAGAGATTATTAGTCGAGGTATACATAAGTTTTTCTGGACCGTTGAAATTAAAAAAAAGTAACAAAAGGAGGAGATTTGAGTTAAAGTTTCAATTCTCCCTTTTATCCTCATTAAACATTTATTTTTCATTGTCATTACTCATTGCAGCTCCCCAAATTCCACACTGATGTACTATGTGATTGTAAAGCNGAAGGAAAACAAGCACAGAGCGATGGATGACATCAAGGAAAGCATAGCAGAGCTTAAATACTACAAGGAGAACATATTCAAAGCAAAGTCTAAGAAGTGATAGGAAAGACCTTCCATGTCCCCCAGGTTCAAGAGCTTTCTACAATCCTTATACGCCCAAAGATGTGGCCTTACCTGCATGTGTAAATTGGTATTTAGAGTGACGGCTATCTATCTTTGTATAGAATTTAATGTCACTTTGCTAAAGTACTTATTCGGGCAAATAATTCAACCAATTTGTTAGCAACACCAAACTCAATTCTTCTTAGCTTGGAAGTATATCCTATATCTGAAGCCTCCCTCAGTGTGTGTGTGAATCCTCTATTCATCAAGTCCTCTAATTTCTGGGTTGGATAGTTCTATATTAGAGACGGCTGGCTAGAAGAGCAGAGGATTAGCATGCAGAACCCAGTAAGGAAAGATTTATCCCTTGATGTTAGACCATGAGAGATTTAATTAATATTTTTGTCTTAGTATGGATGATCTGTCTTTGAATAAACCGAAAAAGAGATTATTAGTCTAGGTATACATAAGTTTTTCTGGACCGTTGAAATAAAAAAAAAGTAACAAAAGGAGGAGATTTGAGTTAAAGTTTCAATTCTCCCTTTCATCATCATTAAACATTTATTTTTCATTGTCATTACTCATTGCAGTTCCCCAAATTCCACACTGATGTACTATGTGATTGTAAAACAGTCAACTGTTTTTGAGAGTAATTTACCAAAAACAATATTTAAAAAGAAAAGGTGTCCCAGAGTATGTATGATCAGAAAATGGCAAGTCCAGTCTTCGAGCTTTATGTGACGGATGAGCCTAGACTAATGCTCTCAATCCCACTCACCTCACCCCCCCTTCTCAGTAGTCTTGCTCCTTGAACCTCGGTAAAGACCCCGACATCTGTCAACCAAGCATTGATTACATTGGCTCAATTGAGTAAAATATAGTTTGTTTATATGTAAAATAGTCAAATTACTTAGTTGGTTGGTTTGTTTTGAACTCGAGTTTGAATTTTTTTTTTTTTTTAAATGAGTCAAGTTTGAATATTTTTTAAAGTTTATTTTACAAAATTAGCTCATCAAACTTAAGTTTGAACTCATTCATTTGGCTCGTTTATAGTTTCCCACCCATAGCTTCAAGGTCTAATGCTTGTGCTTTGTTATAGGATGAAATGTTTAGAAATCTTGACTTTCTCGTAGCAGTAGCAGAAGTTCAATAAAAATAAACAAGCTCAGGACTAAACATTACGTTCAAAAAAAAAGTCTAAATTCAAAAGGGTAGTCGAGAGTTTATCAACTAAGGAATTTAGTGATACAGAATTTCAATTATTATTATTTTTTTTTTTGAATGAACACAAATAAACAAACAAACAAACAGATAGGTGTTATAAATGAGTGATGTTGGAAAAAATAATTAAGCAGGTCCANTACGTTCAAAAAAAAAGTCTAAATTCAAAAGGGTAGTCGAGAGTTTATCAACTAAGGAATTTAGTGATACAGAATTTCAATTATTATTATTATTTTTTTTTGAATGAACACAAACAAACAAACAAACAGATAGGTGTTATAAATGAGTGATGTGTAATCATGCCCTCACCTAGCAGAATGATGGGATGGAAGTGGTTCGTAAGTCAGGCAGGCAGCCAATGTGGTGTGGTTACGATGTTAATCTGCTTTTACATTTGATTTGAACCCCACGCGTCTCTTTCCGACAAAGAATGCCCCCCGCCTAGAAAAGACGTGGAATGTACATGGAAAATGGTGGACGGAAGGTGGGATAGAAAAATGATACTTTTCCTTATTTGGTGAAGGGAAAAAAATGAAAGGGAAGGAAAAGGATATAATATTTAATGTAACGTTATTTATTGTCTAAGGGTGTAATTTGGGTTCTAATTTGGATTTGGATAAGGATTTTTAATATTTGAGTCAAAAAATCTCAACCCCAATTTAATTTGGGCGGGCCTCGAGTTGTCCTCTCGGGTCCACGAGTTGAACCCAAATTAATAATCGGGTTCAACCCAAATTACTATTATATAAATACAATTTTATAATTTATACTAGGATTAATCTGATTTTCTTACCCTTATGGACTATGTTTTTCGTATGTTTGTGTTCTATTAAACTGGTTCTGTGCAATGCGGCAGTGTTATGTTTTACAATGGTAGATGTGTTGTTATTTCTGTTAAATTGACAGCATTGTAATTTTTGTTAAACTGACAACAGTGTTTGTGACTTTGTGTTCTATATGGTTGTAGTTGCATTGAGTTCTTAATATTATAANAATGCGGCAGTGTTATGTTTTACAATGGTAGATGTGTTGTTATTTCTGTTAAATTGGCAGCATTGTAATTTCTGTTAAACTGAAAACAGTGTTTGTGACTTTGTGTTCTATATGTTTGTAGTTGAATTGAGTTCTTAATATTATGATTTTTATATTAAAAATTTGATTGAATTTGTTAGTTGTTAAATTATTTGAATATTATATAATATATGTATCAGGTTTAGAACATTAACCCAAAATTAGCCCAAAATCAACCCAAGCCCGCCCGATTTAAACTCAGGCAATGCTTAGGTTGAGTTTATCAACTCAAAGTAGGGTTAGGGTNTTTGAATATTATATAATATATGTATCAGGTTTAGAACATTAACCCAAAATTAGCCCGAAATCAACCCAAGCCCGCCCGATTTAAACTCAGGCAATGCTTAGGTTGAGTTTATCAACCCAAAGTAGGGTTAGGATNAATTTGTTAGTTGTTAAATTATTTGAATATTATATAATATATGTATCAGGTTTAGAACATTAACCCAAAATTAGCCCGAAATCAACCCAAGCCCGCCCGATTTAAACTCAGGCAATGCTTAGGTTGAGTTTATCAACTCAAAGTAGGGTTAGGATTAGGGTTAGGATTAGGGTTGGACTAGAGTTGACTGTCCAATCTGTCCAAATCGTCCGAGTTGCACCCCTATTATCGTCACATGATATTATTATTTAATAAAAAAATAATAAGTAAATAAAATGAATTTTACTAATCTTATGTGTTGATAATTAAACATGATGATTATAAATAATTATGAAAATAATAAAATCTACTTTATTTGCTTATAACCTGTCATTATTAATAATATAATATTTTCACTAATTAATAATAAAATTTTAAATGGACAAGGTCAGCCTCAATTGGGCTTATATGAAAGAAAAGTAAAGAGTTATTTACTTGTCTAGTTATTAACTTTTATAAAATTTATTTATTTATTTTAATATTATTGATAAATAATATCACATCACATCACATTATCATATAACATTACTATTTTATTAAATATTTTCTCCTAGTTTCTATGCATAAGTAGTCTAAAATCGTGGGGTCCACGTTATAGTCATTTGTTCTTCAAGTGTTGCCGTAAATATATTTTATATATATACAAGGGCAATTATCGTAATTATAGAATAGTATTTTTAATTCAAATNCGAGTTGCACCCCTATTATCGTCACATGATATTATTATTTAATAAAAAAATAATAAAGTAAATAAAATGAATTTTACTAATCTTATGTGTTGATAATTAAACGTGATGATTATAAATAATTATGAAAATAATAAAATCTACTTTATTAATTTTTAATTTTTTTATTAGATGATAACATTAGGAAATTGATAGCATAATGTCACAATTGTATTGAATATTTACTCTAAGAAAAAGGGGTCTAGAATGCATCCATGACCCCACTATTTTGCATCACTCTACAAATGGGAGGAAAATTGTACCCTCCAATTGGAGAAAATATTCATTATAATGGTAATACCACATGACAAGGTGATATGGTATCACACAGCTAATAATAATAAAACAAATAATCAGATGGATTCCACAAAAATCAATAACTAACCTGTCATGTAAGTAAATAACTTTTCACTTTTCTGTCATGTAAGCTCAAGTAAGGTTCACCTTTTCTATTTGAGATCTTATTTTTGGTTGGTGATACCATATCATTAATAGTGACATGATGTCACCGTTGTATTCAATATTTGACAGGTTGCATCACTAGAAATTTGAGGGGAAAAAAATGGGGTCCACTTATTGTCACTTTTTTATTTTTTAAGTAAATAATAAATATAATGGTGATACCGTGTCATTATTAATAATATGATATTTTTACTAATTAATAATAAAATTTTAAGTGGATAAGGTCAGCCTCAATTGGGCTTATATGAAAGAAAAGTAAAGAGTTATTTACTTGTCTAGTTATTAATTTTTATAAAATTTATATATTTATTTTAATATTATTGATACATAATATCACATCACATCACATTATCATATAACATTA